TTTGTGTGGGTTGTGTTTATGTATTTGGTTATAGTGTGTGGTTGTTGTGGAGTAAATGGATGTGCATTCGCAAATGCGTTTGTTTGAATATGAATCTGAATATGAATCTGATTATGACCATGAGTGATGAGTGTGGAGTGTCAGTGCGTTTATACGTCTGCGTGTGATGTTTGCGTATGCATGCGTGCGTGAGTGAGCGAGCGACTGAATGACCGTTTGGAAGATCCATACATCGTTTAACCCTTTCTCACACCTAATAAAACAGCACATTTTCCTTAATTATCTCTTATAAGGCAAAGCATGCCCAGCCCCCGGTAATATCAGCAGGCATCCCAAACTGGAATGAAAGCCATGCACATATTCGGAACGAGTCTAGATAAGGCTCCAAGGCCGTCTTTAATATTCCTGAAAAGCAACGTTTTAGACCTATTTCCTTCGATCTCACTCTTGAATCTGTGTTCAGCTTATGACATACCTCTTAAGGTCTTCTCCTATCATGACATCTGTCTCCTAAATCTGCGATGGCTCTTCCATGAGCAGAAACGTGAAAAAGGCACGGTCGCCCGCCCGCCATCTTGAATTGACCACAAGCAATTTCGAAACTTTAATCCGAAGCACAAACTTACGAGTCTGCGTTTCGGATCCAAGGGTCGAAACGCGGTGGTCCGAATAACGTTTGCGATGAATTTAGAATATGATGCATTATATAATTTTCGATGATATCGTGTTTTACAAATCATTACTTTTAGGCTTCTTGCATATACCTATTGATTCCTTTTTCATCTTGTTTATTTTGAGGAATATAACATTTTTGGTTCACGAATATACATATATGTCAAGATGATGTACCGAAATTCAAACCGTACAGAATGACTAACAAAAATGGATTTATTCCTGCAATGTCTTAAGACATGAATAACATCCGTTGTCATTCTCCATCACTGCCAGTCGCAATCAATCATCCTTGGTGGCTGAGAGGTCGTTATTTGATGAAGCAGGGATGGCGTTTAACTGGCCTTTTCTACTTATTTACCTTTTTAGCGATCCATATGGAGTGAACTTCAGCTAATCTTTCGTTTTTCTTTGAACACTTTCACTGAACAAGGGGTATGGTTTTCTGGTCGATAGTCTGGAGGCTGTCTGCCTTTAATGATTTTTCTCTTTGATTCTTGAAATTTTAGTTTTTGATTTATTATATATATATATATATATATATATTATATTATATATATATAAGTAGAAGGCATACAGTTTAGCTATATTTATGTATCTTTATTTTATCTATTCTTTGTAATCTGTTTACAAACCGTGTGTTTGTTGAGTTTTTACACTAAAGGTCCCGACAAATCTGGCTAAATTATTTTGTCTTTCTGTAATAGAGAAACCATTAGGGTTAATATCGTAAGGGTTAAATTCACTAGCACTGACCTGCGTTACCCTCGTGTGTTTGATACCTCTGTTTACATCATTAATCAGTCACAGGATTTTAGATAGAATTCTTCCATAAGATCCAATGATTTTTTATAATAATCTGATGGAACTTCATTCCAAGAAAATTATGGGACACCCAAGAATTGAATTAAATACAGTGCAGCCTGTGGGGTTTAGTTACAGCATTCTTGCTTCCTCTCTCTCTCTCTCTCAATCTATCTATCTATCCATCTATCTCTCACTCACCCACTCTGTCTTTCTATTTGTCTATCTCTTCATTTACGCTACTAGCTACCTATCTCTCGTTCGCTCTCATGGAAACAGAAATACGGAGAGAGAGAGAGAGAGAGAGAGAGAGAGAGAGAGAGAGAGAGAGAGAGAGAGAGAGAGAGAGAGAGAGAGAGAGAGAGAGAGAGAGAGAATTTCGAATATACTCCAGCACCGCATGTAGTCCTACCATTAACCGTCTGTATATGGGAAACTAAATTTGGATTATTCATTTCCGGGATAATTCAGAGTCTGCACTTGTTGCCTACTTTTCTCTTCCAAGGTGTTTTAAAATTGAATTAAGATATTTGTATTTGATTACTCAAATTTTATTGCTTTTATATAGATGGTCCCTGTGATGTCTATAGCCATTTTCCCTTTCAAATCTGGGAATATTGGCCATGATCTGGTCTTGACTTTGATCTCCACGGCCATGGCAATCATAAACTTAAAAGAAAATACTCATGCACATTATAAGCGGGTATCCAAATTGATCCTTTTGTGAAACATTTTATATAAAGAGTCATTCCGAAATTGGAAGCGAAAAAGTTGATGGCGACCATTCTGGCAACTCTGATCGGAGCAAAATACACGAGGAAATAAAAGCATTAGTGAATTACTCTCTCTCTTTCTCTGCTTATCTGTCTCACTAGATAGCTATCTCTCGCTCGCTCTCAGGTAAGCAGAAATACGGAGAGAGAGAGAGAGAGAGAGAGAGAGAGAGAGAGAGAGAGAGAGAGAGAGAGAGAGAGAGAGAGAGAGAGAGAGAGAGAGAGAGAGAGACGGAGAGAGAGAAAGAGCGGGGTAGAGATAGAGAGGTACAGAGAGAGATAAACAGACAGAGAGAGAGAGAGACAGACGGGCAGAGAGGGTGAGAGAGAGACGGATAGAGAGCGAGAGAGAGACAGTGAGATGGACAGAGAGAGAGAGAAAGAGAGAGAGACGGACAGAGAGAGAGAGACCGAGACAAAAGGACAGACGATAGAGGAGGAGGAAGAAGAGAGACAGAGAGAGATAAACGGACAGAGAGAGAGAGAGGACAGACGGCAGAGAGACGAGAAGAGAGAGAGACTGAGATAAACGGACAGAGAGAGAGAGAGAGACAGTGAGATAGATGGACAGAGAGAGAGAGAGGGGTGAGGAGCAGACGGGCTGAGAGAGACGGATAAAGAGAGACAGAGATAGAGTGAGAAGGAGAGAGAGAGACAGAGACAGAGAGAGAAGAGAGAGACAGAGGACAGAGAGACAGAGACAGAGACAAAGAGAGACAGACGGACAGTGAGAGAGAGAGACAGAGACGGACAGTGAGAGAGAGAGAGACAAAGAGGAACAGAGAGAGAGAGAGGGAGAGAGTGTATGTGTGTTTAAGCGTATGTGAGTGTGTGTTTTTCAGTGTGTTTATGTTTGCGTGAAAGAGAGAGAGAGAGAGAGAGAGAGAGAGAGAGAAGAGAGAGAGAGAGAGAGAGAGAGAGAGAGAGAGAGAGAAAGAGAGAGAGAGAGAGAGAGAAATTACTCTACGTCTCGCCTCCCTTATTTGCTAAGCTGTGAAGGTCGGGGACTGAGGACTGCAGGAAGCTGAGGATAAGAAATGCTCTCGTCTAATCACGGTAAATTCACTTTTGAATTCCGCAATATCAGCGTGCGTAATGGAAATGTCAGTAGGATTTCGATGCTCGTAAATCATTTCACAGACGTATTGTTTGCATTTCCATTTTTTTCTTTTTCAAGGAAGTAATTCTCGCTTTCCGCTGTGTTATTAGATTAAAAAAAAACAGTTATGCTGTGATGAATTTTTCTTTTTCGGCTGTTGTTGTCATTAGCATATATCAGTATTTCTTCATGAACATTAATGTTTATATATTTTTTTCGTAAGTATTCTAAATTTCTCCGTATCATCTTACCCTAAACTGCATCGTAGTTTACCAGAGACTCGGCACGCAGTCTGGCCTCATGTCTTGCTGTGACCTTTCCCAAGATATTAGCCTTGGCCTTTTCATGTATAAATTTCCTCCCGAGTCTCCTACAGCTACGTGTTACTAAGCCTCTCTACGATCGTCGCCCAAACTCACTGACTCTGTCCGGGGTTAATAACCTCCCTCTCTCGCCTCACTGACCTTTCTCATCTCCATAGAGGATGCTAATTACTTCCCGATTGTGTTTTCCTTTGGCTAGGCCTACCGAGAGTTGCGCTGCGCTTTTGTTTTTTTTTCCTTCTCCCTCTCCCCCCCCCCCCCTACACACACATCTTTAGAAAATACGAGTTATACAGGAAACCGGAAGGACTGCTTCGTTGCCCAAGCGTGAAATACATGCAAAATTTATCTGAAAAGTACGAGAAAACGTCGCATTATTTTTTTCATATATAGTAAAGTGAAGATTCATGAAACAAGCTTTTAACCTTGGTCGTGATTCGCGTCCGCACTTCCGCGAGCTCGCCTACGCTGCTCGGATGAAAAGGGAAAGTTTCGTGTCGGTTCTATCAATGTGCGATGCCATGTTCACAATGGGCTCGTTGTCTGTCTTGCGTATCGCTGATATCAACATCCATTATCTATTTTTTTGCACACTTATTGATTCGATAATGTTATATGCGTTTAGATTCGGGTCCATCATTTCTTTTTGTGAGTATGAGTATCCCTAAATTGCAAGGACACCATCATGGACTTCTAAAAATAAATAAAAGATCAATAATCCCACCATAAATTTCCACATCAAAGCAATTTCAGATTTCACCCGAATAACTGCAAAATTCTGACCGTGATTGAGAGATGGTGAATATCCCTGCAGATATGGGTACATTACTTCCCCGTTCACCCCCCTCCCTTACCCCCTCCACCCCTTAGGTAGTGAGAAATACCCTGAGGTTTATCAGGAAGGCAGCAGATCAGCCCTTAGGTGACTTGTATTGTATTTCCGTGTTCTAAGTACTTCCCAATTCCAAGGTCTGACAACAAGTTCTTTTTTTCCCTTTTTCCCCTGGAAGTAAGGTCGAAATCGGTCAGCTATTTATTTATTTATTCATTTTCAAGGGGAAAAAATCTGTTGAATTAAATATATGCGATTTCTCGTGCCTAATAACCTTACAACAGAAGCGGAA